CAGCATCCAGCAGCCCCAGGTTGTCTCACATGCTGAGCCTGCGCTCTTAAACCAAAAATTAAATGCAGTATACAGTCTTTAATATGTCAGTTTTGCCCTCAAGCATTAAAGTTTTTAAAAGCTTTAGGGAGAAAATAGAAAAGTGAAAGAAGAGAAAGCAATTATTACTAAGGCGGAGGAAAAATGAGAATCACTCTTAACTAAGAAACTGGTGCAGAAAACCAAAAGGAAAGAGAAGGTAGAGATAAAAAGAACAGAACCACATCCACAAAGAGGCTAGAAACCATGTTCACGCTCATAAAAATAAGATCAAACAATGAAGGAGGAAAACAAAACAACAACGTCAACAAAACAACAACAACACCACACCAGAGAGAAATGTCCACTTCCATGTATGTCTCTGTTGTCACTGGTAGACAATGAATAGAGACAGAGTTCTCACCCATATTGATTTACCCCAGCGAGCCAGCAGTAACTTTTTTTTGCTGGATAGTGAATACTCTAAGTGAGCCTGCACCTTCTGCCCAAGACAAGATTCATTCAGCCTGTAGCCATCATCTACCTTCTTTGGGCCTGAGTCCAACTAGAAACAGGTAGGTGGAACCAGCAGCTACTCTGTGTTCTGAGCTTAGCTGGTCCCTTTCCAAGATAGCTCCCAGCCAAATGCTGTCTTTCCTACAGCACAGCTGAGCCCTCAGCACTCACCCCCAGCTAGTGCAGTCCTTCATGTCCACTGCTTCTCTCCACTCCTGCATCTCTCCGTGCTCTGGGGTCACCAGCAGTCACTGTGTGTCTGCAGATTTGAATTGCACAGTGAGCCCTGTGTTGGAGAAGGCACCACTAGCCTCCTCCCTTCTTTCAAGTTTCTCTCTTTAATCTCTGTAGGCTTTAATTCATGCTTCAGAACCTTCCTGGATCCAGGGAACCCACTTCCCTCCTTACTTTCCTCACATTGTTATATTGTAGCATCTAGATGACAGCTCTCAGAGGGGCTCTTTCTCTTCTGCTTAGCGCTCTGCTATCTTTGTTCTCCCCCAGCCAAGAAGCTTCTTAGTTAAGAAAGCAAAATCCTGTTAAAAGAATTTCCAGGGGCTGGGGAGATGGCTCAGTAGACTAAGCACTTCCCTGGCAAGCGCAAGGGCCTGAGTTCAATCCCTGATTCCACAAAAAAAAAGGAAGAAAAAAAAATTTTTTTTAAA